GGAAGAGATTAACCAAAGAAGTTATATGCATATATGCATAACCCATGGACACAGACAATGACAGGGTGAAGGCCTGGGGAGAGGGTGGGAGCGAGGTGGAGGGGGTCAATTCGGGGGGAAAAATGGGACACCTGTAATACTTTCAACAATAAAGATAAATTAAAAAAAAAAAGAAATAAGAAAAGCACAAGTCATATAAGAAAAAAATTGCTAAATTAGAGTTCATCAAAATTTTAAAATTGAAAACTTCTGGTTTTGCCCTGACCTATGTTACTCAGTGGTTAGAGCACTGGCCCACACACTGAAGGGTCCAAAGGGTTTGATTCCTGGTCAGTGGCATGTACCTGGGTTACAGGTTCCTTCCTGGCCCAGATCCAGGAGCATGCGGGAGGCAACCAATCGATGTGTCTCTCTCACTTCTCTCTCTCTCTCTCACTCTCTCTCTCTCTCTTTCTCTCTCTCCCCCCTTTCCCCACCTTCCCTCCTTCCCTTCCACTCTCTGAAAAATCAGTGGAAAAAATATACTCAGGTAAGGATTTAAAAAAAGAACTTCTGGTCTCCAGAGATACTTTTAATAGAATGAAGACAAAAAACAACCTGGGAAAGATATTTACTAAACACATATCTGACAGAATGGACTCAGAAAAAAACACTCTTAAAACTCAATAATAAGATAAATATCCAATTAAAAAATGGATTTGAACAGACACTTCATTGAAAAAGATATTTTCACATAGACATTCCACATTATCAGCTATTAGAGAAATGCAAATTTAAACCACACAGTGATACAAATACATTCCTACTGGAAAGGCTAATTTAAAAATAACAACAAACAAATATAAAGATCAGGTGAAAATGTGGAGCAAATGCAACCCTCATCTACTGCTGGTGGGAAGACAAGATGATAGAACCATCTTAGAACACAGTTTAGCAGTTTCTTAACAAGTTAAATAAGCACTCAGCATATGATGCAGCAATCCCACCCTTAGGTATTTTACCCCAAAGCAATGGAAACATTTTCACACAAAGACCCTATGTGAGTATTTTTAGCAGCTTTAGTCATAATAACCAAAAAACTATAAACAACCCAAATATCCATTAACTGATGACTGTATAAATAAACTGGTATATCCACATAATTGAAATACTACACAGCAATAAAAGAATGAACTACTGACAGATGCAACTACATGGATGAATCTCAAAAGGGTTATGCTAAGAAAAAGAAGCCAAACACAAAAGGTTACACTCTACATGATTTCATTTCTAAGGCACTGTGGAAAAGGCAAGACTATAGCAAGAAAAATCATATTGGTGCTTGCCAGGGCTGGTGGTGGGAGGAGAAACTGACTGCAAAGAAACATGAGCCTTTTTGAGATGACAAAAGTGTTCTGTATCTCAAATGTGATGGTGGCACATAACTACACATTTATCAAAACTCAATAAAGTGTACACTTTAAAAGAGTGAATTATATTAATTAAAAATTATACCTCAATAAACCTGACTTAAGAAAATAATAAAGCAAACCTTAAAGAACAACTAAGTGAAAATAAATATAAGAAAAATCAACTTACAGTCTTTCCAATTTTTCGTTCATCACGAGGATGTTATCAAGTGTTATAAATGACATTTGTGTTGCTCCCATGTCTCTGGAGGAGAAAGACCAAACATGCATGATGTGAACCTAAAGGCAAAAATTCTGTACTTAAAGAGACACTTAACAACATCTGGTTACTTCAATTCTGGCTTCTCTGTGAAGCCAACCTAAGAGTTTACTTGCCATAGATGATCATTTCAGAGAGCTCTCTTGATGAAATTTAAATTTATTGGCATCATCAAATTAATGACTTTGGTGAACAGTACAATCTGTGTTTGTTTGTCATTTTTATCATTATCCTACTTGTCATTCTCAATTGCAACCACCACTTGATTACTCTTTAAAAAACCCCACACATAATGTACAACACATTCCTTTTTTCTTTCTGTGATCAATGGTATTTCTACATGCATCTACATGTTTCATATCTGAATGTGTTCTTCAACACAGCTCCCTTCCTCTGCTGGCTGTCTTGACCTTGTGCATTCTTTCTTAATCATTTTTCTGTGCCAATAACTCTTTTTCAATCTCCCAGTTAAAATTTAAGTTAGGACTTTTTAGTCAAAATGCAGAATATTTAATCTTTGACGAAAGTAAGAAAGAGCAGAAATCATCTCATGAGCATGAGATTGTTGAAATACTTACAAATATTTTAACTCTGGCAAATTATAAAGATATGGATCTTGAACAGTTATCAGAGGATTATGATTGAGAATTCTGAAAAATGCAATAGAATTAAAATTATCTGCATTTTCAATAACTGCTATGAAAGTTTACATTCATTTTGTCTACAAAACTTGAAGGTTAAAAAAATCAATTTTTGTCTATACCTATAGATCACCCTTAGAATCTGTAAAGCACTCTTTTTCTTCTTTTTTTGTTAATCCTCACCCAAGGTTTTTTTTCCCATTGCTTTTTTTAGAGAGAGTGGAAAGGAAAAAGTGAGAGGCAGAGAGAGAGAGAGAGAAGCATCAATGTGAGAGAGACACAACAATTGGCTGCCTCCCGCATGAGCCCTGACATGGGGCCCGGGATCGAACCTGCAACCCAGGTACATGCCCTTGAGCAGGAATCGAACCCATGACCCTTGGGGGAGTGTGTGTGGGGAGGATGCTCTAACCACTTAGCCACACCGGCCAGGGAGCACAATAACCTTATTGATAGATATTATTATTACCCCATTTTACAAATGAGGAAACTGAGGCACAGAGAGGTTATATAACTTGTCCTGTCATCAGGCTAGTAAGAAGCAGAGCTGGAATTTGAACTCAGTTCTAACTGCAAAGACTGTGTTTAACTCTACAAAGAAAAGAGGATTCAACAGCTGTTACTTGAACCTTACTTTTGAGACCAGCAAATATAGAAATTCCTTCGCAAAATTTCATGTACCCATCTAGGAAAGCTTCTATGAGAATTACATTTTCTCTCTCTCTTTTAAAAATATATATATTTTTTATTTCAGAGAGGAAGGGAGAGGGAGACATAGAAACATGAATGATGAATCGTTGATCAGCTGCCTCCTGTATGCCCCCTACGGGGGATCAAGCCCACACTCCGGGCATGTGCCCTGAATAGGGAATCAAACTGTGACCTCCAGGTTCATGGGTCGATGTCCAACCACTGAGCCAAGCTGGCCGGGCTACATTTTCTTTTTATTCCTGTTCCCTAATTGTCTCTGGTTATTAAATATTTAAATAGCTTGTAGTCATTGAGACTTTAGAGATTTAAAACCATGCTGAAGGTAAATCAGTGAAAATGGTAGAGTAATGAAATATGGAAATTCATCCCTAAAAGAGAAACAAAAAATTACTGGCGAAAATGGTCAGAATCAACTTTTTCAAACTCTGGAAATTTCACCGAAAGTCTTGAAGGAATCCAGGGAACATTTAGTCAAGAAAAATGATTAATTTCTGTAAGAACAGTGATCTGTGTTGCTTTAACCTATCCTAGACCTTTGCTCTCCATCCCAGGGGAAACCCTGAAAACCAGCCCACAGACCCAGTACCCCAGAGAGTAAATGGAACAAAATCACATTCCCAAGGAATTATCATTTTACCTGTCAGTGGGTCCCTGGAAGACCTCACTTTAAAGTCTTGTCTTTGACCTGATTGAGAGCTGCCTAGGAAAGCCTCTGTCCTCAGAGGAAATTTTATGAAAACAATTGCAGGTAAATGTTTTAACACGGCAGCTGCTGAGGCAACGGATTACAGTTGGTGCAAAAAATAGGCTAACAAAAAAAGCTTAAAAGAAAAAGCTGAGCCCTGCCACTGTCACTCAGTTGTTGAACCTGGAGGTCACAGCTTGATTCCTGGTCAGGGTACATGTCCAGGTTTGGGGGCGCTCGATCCCCAATAGGGGGCATGCAGGAGGTAGCCAATCAATGACTCTCTCATCATTGATGTTTCTCTCTCTCCCTCTCCCTTCCTCTCTCTGAAATCAATTAAAACATTTTTTTTTTTTAAAAAGAAGAAAAAGCGGAGAAATGAGATGTCTATAGAGACTCTGAAGTGCTCCAACATATGCCTGGGAAATTGGGAGACCATGAGACATATTCCTGGAATCTAGAAAAAAAACTATTAGCACTAATAAATGAGTTCAGCAAGGTGGCAGGATACAAGACCAATATGCAAAATGCAAAATTAGCTGTATTTTTCTACACTAGCAATGAGTAATCAAAAAATGAAATTAAAAAAACAATTCCATCTATAACAGCATCAAAAAGAATGAAATACTTACCAAAATATTTAATCAAAGAAGTGCATGACTCATATACTAAAAACTACAAAACATTGCTTAAAAAAATTAAAAAGACGTAAATAAGTGGGAAGACATGCTGTGTTCATGGATCAGAAGATGATACTGTTAAAATGGCCCTACTCCCCAAGTTGATCTATGGTTTCAATTCAACCCCTATCAAAATCCCAACAGATTTTTCCCCAGAAATGGACAAGCTAGTTCTAAAATCATGAGGCAATTCAAGGGACCAAGAGCAGCCAAGACAATCTTGATAAAGAGGAACAACGCGGGAGGACTAACATGTCCTGGGTTCAAAACCCAGTTCAAAGCCACAGCATTCACAGTGTGGTACTGGCATAAGGCTAGACATATAAATCAATGGAACAAATGGACAGTCCAGAAATAAACCCTCACATGTATTGTCTATTGATTTTCAACAAGAGTGCCAAAACAATTCAATACGGAAAGAATTGTCTTTTCAAATGGTGCTGGGACAACTGTATATCGACAGGCAAAATAATGAAGTTGGACTCCGCCTACACCAGATATAAAAATTAACTCAAAGTGAATTAAATACCTAAATGTAAGAACTAAAGCTATAAAACTCTTAGAAGAAAACAAGGAGCAAATCTCTATGACCTTATATTAGGCCAACAGTTTCTTAGATATGATACTAAAAGCACAAAAACAACCAAAGGAAAAATAGGTACATTAGACTTTATAAAAATGAAAAACTTTTGTGCCTCAAAGGACACTATCAAGAAAATGAAGAGACAACTCATACAATGGGAGAAAATATTTTCAAATTATATATTTGATAAAGGCCTACATCCAAAAGATCCAGAATATATAAAGATCTCTTACAACTCAATAAAAAGATAACCCAATTTTTAAATGGGCAAAACATTTAAAGAGACACTTCTCCAAAACAGATATACAAATGGCCAATAAGCACATGAAAAGCTGATCAATTTCTTAAGTCACTAGGGAAATACAAATCAAAGCCACCATGAGATACTTACTTTACATTCACTAAGATGGCTATAACCAAACAGACAATAACAAATGCTGGCAAGGATATGGAGGAATTGGAATCCTCATACATTGTTGGTAGAATAGAAAATAGTGAAGCCACTGTGGAATACTATTGGGCAGTTACTCAAAAAAGTTTAACATAGAGTTGCTATATTACCCAGAATTTCACTCTTAGGTATGCACCAAGAGAATTAGAAACATATGTCCATACAAACACTTGTATGTGAATGTTCATAGCAGCATTAGTAAGAATAGGAAAAAGAGTAGAAAATTACTTCAAGAACTTATAAGTGGTTCTGCCACAGTGTGAACCTAGGCATGTTATCCAACATCTCTGAGTTTTGGGGTTTTTTTTGTTTTTGGTTTTTTAAAAATATATCTTTATTGATTTCAGAGAGAGGAAAGGAGAGGGAGAGAGAGAGAGAAACATCAATGATGAGAGAGTCATTGATCGGCTGCAGCCCGCAACCCGGGCATGTGCCCTGACTGGGAATCGAACCCCGAACGCCTGGATTCTAGGTCGACGCTCAACCGCTGAGCCACGTCCGGCAGGGCAACATCTCTGAGTTTTAATGGGGATAAGAGTATCTCCATCACAAGAGTTGCTGAGGAAATGAGAATGAGATATAGTATAAGGTAACACAATGACCATTTAGCATGTGCCAAGCTCTACTCTAAGGCCTTCAGATACGCATCTAACTTGTATAATAAGTGAAAGTACTAAGTATAGTGCCTGAACCCTAATAAGCCCTAATAAATGTAGGTGTTAGAGAAACATTATGAGGCAGAGAAAGAATTCTTATGCTTTTGAGAGAAGATGCCTTATTTCACAGGTGGGAGAATAAGATGCAGTTGGTGAAGAAAGTATCATCAGAACTGCCGGGTTTGACAATCTCAACTTCTGAACCATTACAAATAAACAGCCACCCTAAATCATCCCAAAGGACAGACCCCAGTTGTTATTTTCACCTTCAGTGTTCATGCCTTTCTGAACCTAACAAGAAGCTGCCAGGATTTCAGTACATACCAGAAAGTGATGACAATGCCCTGTAGTGGCCTGTATGCTCATAGCTACCTAAAGGAAACCAATCAGTGCTAGGTGACCGGGGGAGCATTAGGGTGCCATGTGACCACAGCTCAATTTGCCTTCATAGTGTGCCCTGACCTACCTCACTGATATTCTCAACACTGGGGTAAATATTTCAATAGGGGTAAAACTTTCATTTTCCTCTTTTAATCTCATACTGCTTATGTTTGTGGCGCAATATTAATGTAACACAGACAAGCCAGCATGTGAATGTGCTTCATCTGGATAAGGTATAGCCTTTCTACATTGTAGAGTCCTTCGTTTTCTAAAATCACAGAGCTTGTATTGGTAGAATCAATGAAGTGAACTAAAAGACGTTTTTAAAATAGGCCATGAGTTTGGACCTATGTAAGTGCATGAAGGAGAAGCACTTTAAAGTCAGAAAAAATAAGTATACTTAACATTAGGATTATCAACCACTGCTGTGTTCCATAATATATTTCATTCTTGATTTTATCTGAAAGAAGTATGATGATCACTACCATTCAAGAAGTGTTACTTTATGAATACACTCGGCATGACTTTGAGCTGAATTTCAGATTCAAGATGGACTCTTTACCACACTAACTTGCTAATTCAGTGTTTGCTGATAACATAGAAACTTCATTCAAGAAACGTACTGAATTATAATTACCTGAAACCTAGGGTTTTGTGGAGCCTGATCTCATCTGTTTGGGGAAATCCTAATAAAAACATGCATAATTATGAATATGAAAACTGCAGGCCCTCCCACTTGCTAGAACTTGAAAGGGGCTTATGCAGGTCAACAGCCCAGAAACTTAAGCTTCATTCAATTCATGATAACTCCACCTCACACTTATTACAAACTTAACACAGGGGAAAATATTGCTTTAACTTATAAAAACCCCAGCAACATATCATATAGATGATTAAATGACTTAACTCGAGGGGTGGCATCTTCCCTTGGCAAGTTGCCTTTGGGAAGACATGCAGTTTCGTTTCTGTCTCACTATGGCAAATGTTTCCTAAAGCAACTTAGAGTTTTGCCCAGAAACAAAGAAAGACTTGGCCCAAAACAAAGGAGCACAGCCCCCAATACACACTTACGGTTTTGTGACTATCTTTTGGAAGTAATTGTTAGTTTTAGAAGTACAGCTCTATTCAAGTCACATGATAGGAGTATTCATTTATTTCTAACACCAACTAGCTCTGATTCTTTCATTACCTTTTTCTGTCATTTAAAATGAACCCAGGAACTCAAGATAAACAAGTTGGTGCCTCCTCTATTACAAATCTTTTCTAACCCACTACCCATTCCCCACTTTGTCTCCCTCCTATCTTGTTACCCTGCTGGAGAAATGCTGGCATGGCTCTCGTATTTTTTCTCATCAACATTCATCTTCCTCCTTCTAGTATAAAAGTTTCTTGGGGACAAAATCCCTGTCCAATTCTTCTTTGTACACCCAGTACATAGTACAGAGCTGACACACAGTGGGCATGGCACCCAGTAAAGGTTTCTGAATGAATTCATTAATTTTTTTCAACTGTGACTCCACAGTTTTGGGGGTTTTTTCCTGTGTTGCCTTCATAACTATAGTGAAATGCAGATTCGTATAGGGGACTGTCGGCGTTACATAATGCTTAAGTAAAGGTGGTGAGATTATGACATTGTATGGACACTACCAAAACCTCTTGCTGTAGGGACCTAAGGAGCCTGCTCTCAGAGCATGGGCAGAGGGAAAACTGACCCTCAGTGTCCCTTCCCCAAGTGAGGCATCAGCAAATTAATGAGGGAAGAGGGGACGCCGCTACAGATGGGCATCTGCAGGAACTGTCAATCCAGCTCCAGACACCCCCTAAACGCCCCCACCTAACCCAAAATGAATTGTGTCAAACTGGATTTCTTAAACACAAGACAGCAAGACAGTCTTCTCCAAAGACAACTTTAGAGAACAATCTTCACCTTGAGTCTCAAAACCTTTTCAGGCCACTAAACATACCCACTATGATTTGCTTGTGTCACAGAGAAATCACAGAATTTTCAAGCTGAAAGGGAATAAAACCCACATTTCTTATTGAGGAATAGTCAGGAGAGAAGTTGCAATGAGGCTACAGCAATGTATTTTCTTTATATTTCTTCACACCACACCTTAACATAAACAGCATCCTCTCCCATCCCTCAAAGACTCCCACTGCCACAGATAATACACTGCAGAGGCACATAGTTTCTGAAAAACAATGTTCTGGATGATTGGTGAGAATAGTGCCCTGTGGCAGGATTGTAAGAATTCTTTCTGCTTTACCATTTAAAAGAGACTCATGGCCCTGGGCTGGCAGCTCAGTTCGTTGAGTGTCCTCCCGTGAACCAAAAGGTTGCTGGTTTGATTCCCAGTCAGGGCACATACCCAGGTTTCAGGTTCAATCCCCTGTTGGGGTACCTGCAGGAGGCAACAGATCAATATTTCACTCTAACATATCTCTCGTTCTCTCTCTCCCTCACTCTCTCTTTCTCTCTCCCTCTCTAAAACCAATTAAAACATATTTTAAATAAATAAATAAATAAATAAATAAATAAATAAATAAATAAATAAATAAATAGACTCATAGCCGAGGAAGCACCCACACCTTTTGTTCCCTGGGGAAGTCTGAGCTCAACTCCATCATTTCAGTTCTATGTTGCATACATTTAAGCACCTAGGACCTTTGCACATGAGCAGGAATCAAATTAAATTCAGAAGTAGAGTTTCAAGGACCACTCATATATTGGAGCAGCAGCACCACAGAGATTCCCATTACAATGCAACTTTGAATGTTATGCGCTTGGTGCCTTCTACTGCCCCTGCCAAAGGGCAGTACAGGGAAAGCAGAGCATGCCACATATGAGTCAGACAAGTCTCTTGGCCTCTTTGTACCTTAGTTTCCTCATCTGAAAAAAAGACGGATGGCTCTTAAGCCATACTTTTCAGAGTATAAATTGAGCTTACACCCAGCCAACCACTGTATGATGTTTTTAAACATAGCTTTTGACATGTATTCATCTTCTATTTCACTTACAGCTCATGTAATAACTGCAGTCCGTGGCTGGCATCAAAGACTCCAAAGCTCAGGTTTTTTATTAAATTGCAACCAAGATTTCTACAAAAAAAAAACAACAAAAACACAAGCAAAAAAACATGGGGGAAATTTCTTAGATCATTAATCCTTTACTAGTGATCTAACTTATATATGATAAAACAACCTCAATACTCCCTCTATGCACTAAACCTCATTGTGGGAGATATTTGTTTATGATTTATGCTTTCATGTTTATACATGTGGTGCATTAGATACAAATCAGTAAGTGCTCAAAAAATACTTGCGTTAAGTGATTATTGTTTCTCTAAAATAGCATTACACAACTTCAACATTACTGACATTTTGAGCTAGATCATTCTTTCTCATGGAGGGCTCTCCTGTGCCTTGTAGGATGTTAACCAACAACTCCGGCCTCTGCCTACTAGATGCCAATAGCATATCTACAGTTCTGACAACTAAAAATCTCTGGCCACGTGTCACCTGGGTGCAAAATCACCCTGGTTGAGAAACACTGCTATAGAATGGTTCATTCTGATCCGTGAGATAATTCTTACACTCATCTATGCTAACTTTAGTAGTTTTTTACTATCAAATTTTAATCTTCAAAATAAATGACGAGGTTTACAATTAAGTTTTATAAAATTTCTAAACAAAATGAAGTTATATTTATAACTTACAGATATTGCAAAAGAGGTAGTGATTCAAATACATTCTTTTCAATAAAGTCTATTTTATTGCAGGATAAATCTCTAGAAAAAGTAAAGGAAAAATGGTGCCTCAATTAGCTCTTAGATATCGAATTAGTAGGAACAAGTGTTAGCGGTTAGAATGATAACATTGAAAACACAGCTTTCGTCTGAACTCTGAACCTCAGGAATTGTGATTTGAACCCTGAGAGCCCCTTATGCTGCCCTCCCCTCTCTTAAGAGTCTCATTTTCATATCTTTATACATAAAATAGACAACTACAGATCCTGATAGATTTTGAAGGTAATCTTTCCTGAGAACAGATGACGACCAAATGTGGTCTCATCAAATTTAGATAATGAATTCAGTTTATATGTTCATATATAATTACAAATTTCTAATATCAAAAGAAATAGTATCACATCCACACACCCTCCTGGTTTAGTTCTGTTTTTCTAAGCCAATTCAATACCAGATGAAATAAACGATGCCTTTTCACATAACTTGAAAGGAAGTTATTCCTCAAAATAATACAGAACTTGGAACTAATTCTGAATGACACTTTCTATTAATAGAAATGCATTTTTTATTTTACATTGCTTTAATACTCCATGAATTTAATTGCTTCAGTTGTACAGTTGTTGTACAGAAAACAACACATTACTGGAATTTTTTTGAAAACACCATCTTATTTCCATTGATTCCACTTTAGTCCTTCACTTTTCACCTGAATGGGTAGAGCCTGTCTTCTTACTGGTGTTTCCCCCTTGCTAATCCATCCTGCACACAGTCACCAGATGAACACTCCAGAAGTGGTTCTCAAATACTAGCCAGCATCATTTGGGAACTTCCTGAAGACGCACATTGTCAGTCCTACTCTGGACCGACTGAATTAGTAACTGTGGGTGCAGCTTGAGTTTGAACAAGCCCTCCAAGTGACTCTGTTGTCGGCTTAAGTTTCTCCTAGAGCACTGGGGTGATAACACGGTAGGTTGGCCGTCGAAGCCCTAGAAGGTCTTACTCTGATCTCCTGCTCTCCCTACTTGTACTCTACAGGTACTCAAGGTATGTTTCCTGTGTTTTGCCTTTCCCCACGCTCCTTCTGCAAGCTTATTCTACAAGATGACTGTGTGATGATCCCCAAGGGCCCTTCAAAGTCCTGTTCAAACAGCATTGCTGTAGCAACATCTTTGCTGATCCAACTTCAAGTCTCTTTTCCCTCTGATGTGACCAAAGCCAGTTTATCTCTCTCACTGTCCAGGTCCATTTCTTCTTTTTAATAGTTATTTTTGCATCCTATCTCCTCTGAACATAAACTGCTTCAAAGCATGGACTGGGTCTTGCTCATCTGCATTGTCTACTGACACATGAACAGGTGCAAACCCAAATATTTATAAAAGAAACAAATAGCTGGGAAGTAGAGGGAGAAAAATAACTGTTTTAAAAGAAATGCAGTTTTATTATTGCAGGGCTCCATCTTGTGCACCTCTTGTCTTCCATTTAGTACTTGTGCTCTATGGTTTGAGCTTATATGTTTATTTTCCCTGTGAGATCGTGAACTACTAGAAGGCTAGGAACCCTGATGTACCCATCTTGATGTCTACAGTACTAGGTACAGTGCTTAGCAGATGCTTTTTTAGCTTGTTTACTGATTGGCATTTTTTAATGAATGGCAATACTTACACTAGCATGAAATAATTAGTTTACAAAGTATTTCACAGTAGAAGTAATGAATGACCTAATCTATTGGGCAGTTAGTTACCTCATTTGTTTTCCTCCAAGCTGTTTGTAAGGTTTGTAAGCCAATGGTAGAGATACCCAAGAAGACCAATACAAAAGTGGTTGTCCCTCTGAAGCTTGAAAGGTTTGATAATCCAAAGAACTACTTTTAGTGTCCTGAGAGGCTCTTTATGCCTACTTCCCTTAACTCTTCAACATAAGCAAAAAGAATCTGTTTGCTGAAGACTATCAGTAATTAGCTTAATAAGGATTTATGACATGCACAGTTCTGGATACCATGGACAAAGGATCATAATTAAGTTTTTATACTAAGGAACAGCACCCTATCTCTAAATAAATAGAATTACTAGGCAAGCATTTCTTCCTTGGCAAGGAGGATGGAGAGATTTTTATTTTGTAATTAGTGAAGTTAGGGGCATTTCTGATATGTTTACTTAGTGTGGACACTTCTAACTATACCACTCAACCATCATTTTAAACATTTATTTTTGCTATAGGAATAACAATTCCTGCATTGAAATCCTTAACACCAGTCTGCTCTCTTGGTAAATTAATATGTTCTTAATAATATTGCTTACATAGTTAATCTGCTTAAATATTTAATGTGTAAATATTTGTTCATCTAATTTAGATTAAATTATCAAAAAATTCTGGGTTAATGGCGTTCAAATTAATATAAATGTTCTATAGTTTCTTGTCTTACAGGAGACAATTTGAGGTTAACCTGAATTCCTCTCATTTTACTAAATCAACATTTTAAATCCTTTGTCAAGGCCAGACAGCAAATATTTTCAGCTTTGAGGCCACAGACAGTCTACCTCACATATTCTTCTTTGTTTCTTTTCTTTTACAGCCCTTTAAAAGTATAAAAATCATTCTTAACTTATGTGCTGCAAGAATAAAACAAACATAGGCCGGATTTGATCCATGGGCTCTAAACTACATATAAATAAAGGCAGATGGTATATGAAAACTTATATACCTAGGCTCATATGGATGTTTATTATTACTCAGACATCATTACCACTTTTTCTCTATAACCGAAGAGTTTTTTCCATCTCTACCTTTTCTATGCGATTACAAAACTGAAAATGCATAGGAGATACTAACTGCTAGAGATGGGCTGAAACCCTACAGAAACTTACAGAATTGTAGAATTTTATTCCTGGGAGAAATTGTAGAGATTATGTAATTTGAATCCCTTATTTATTTATAGATAATATAACTAAGAAGTCATAAATAAATATGATTAACTTACAAATACTGGAGGGAAAGAAGGCCTTCAAATGAATCCTTGTGTAATTCTTTCAAATCGTTTCCACTGAGATTTCTAAAAAATGAAATCATTATTTCTGGCTCAAAATGCATAATAACTACAACTATTTACTGCACAGAAATATATATGTGGAAACCTGAATAATGGTGCCATCAAAATACCCTAATTTTTATTTAACTCAAGGATGGTGATCTCTGCTCTTTTTTTATTCAAACATTTCTTCTCACATCCTCCTTGTGTCCATCTCTCTCCACCACACACACACACACACACACACACTCTCTCTCTCTCTCTCTCTCTCTCTCTCTCTCTCTCTCCTGTCTATACTCTCCACCAAATCATATATTTAAAGTCTACATCACAAAGTCTTTGTTAGAACCCAACTCTGGGTGTAACCAACATTGGCAGAACTGCCATTTCCTCCTCTCTTTTCCCAAAACTTGTTATGGAAGTCCCATACAGAAATGTATCAGGTCTGCAAATAAAGTCATTTAATTATTTCCCTCAGTAAAGAAATTTTTTTGATAACTAAAATGTGTATAAACAACACATAAGAGAAATACAAATACCCATATAAGACCATTCATGTCAAGAAAGAACACTGCCAGTATCCCAGAAGCCCACAGGATGCCTCTTTCCCATCATAACCCTTTCTGACTCCCCTTTAAGGATGTTAGCAACAACTTTGGTATGTGATGTTACTTTTTCAACTGTAAATTCATAAAATCTAAATATAGATCAAATCTCTCTGATAAAAAATTTAGCAACCAAATTGAGATTTCAAACACTTAGTATGGAAAAAAGAATGTAAACTCTCTCATTAACAATTTTTCTGTTGATTCCATACATAAATGACAATACTTTGGATATTCTGAAGACTAAATGTGAAAAAATGTAGACTATCTTATTAATAACCTATATAATTATTACATGGTGAAATGATAATATTTTGGATAAGAGTAAAATAAAACATATAAACAATTATTTCAGTGTTTCTTTTTACTTTTCTTTTTAAGTGGCTACCAGACAATTTAAGATTACCCATGTGGCTTGCATTATGTATCTGATGAATAGTATTCCTTTGCATGATTATCCCACACATTATTTATTCATTCTACCATTCCTGGATACTAAGAACTTTCTAGTTTTTAGTTACAACAGTGCTGCTTTGAACATTCTTGTATCTTGATACACATTGGTCTGTTTTCTCTAGGATATAATAGGGGGACAAAATTGTTTTCCTAAGAGATTATGCTATTTCCAGTTGGCGGATTGAAACATGCCAAGTCTCTACCCCTCCAACTTCCACCAAAATCCCTAAGAATAATGGAAAAGATATCATTTAAAAATCACAAACTTAGCTCAAAGCATGGGAGCAGCTCCACAAATGCTCCCCTACCAGAAATGCCCTGGAGTACCCTGCAGGTGAGTCGTGGGGATGCTGCAGTAGGAGCAGCTGGAGCACATCAACCCCTTCTTCCCTCCTTGGACCAGTCAGCAAGGGTGTCCTCCTCCAGGTAGGAGCAACTGGTGTTAGAAAGGGGGCAGGGTCCCAGCGCCCTGGAGAAAGGGTTTGCACTCCCTGGCTAGCCACCAGGAGGGCTCTCCACTATTCTTTACTCTCAGGGGAATACATCTGAAAACAAGCCCCAGCAGTTCATTTCACCTCCCCCCTGGAGCCAGCAAACAGAAGCAGTAGGAACTCCATTACAAAGATGAACTGCACTCAGGAATGACTTAAGACAGCTCCATTAAGGACAGAAGACAAAAACCAACATAAGAGCTTATAGCCAATGAATCGGAGTTAACAGATAAAGCACAAGAGCACTTCAGAATAGCATAATTAATATCCTCAGACAAATGTAAGGAGACAGTACATCCATGAAAAGAATCACACAAGATTATACAAATTGTTATCACTCATAAAAAAACCCACAAAAACCCAACAACCTCAGTACATGAGCAGCAGAAATGACAACTGAATAAATTAGAATACTGAGAGATCCAGCCAACGAGTTCTCCATAATGAGAAAGGAAGGGAACAGGAATGACCCACAGACAAGCCTGACACCTGGTCTGCCCAAGGAATGTGAAGGCCTTTGCTTTACCTAGTCTCGCAGTAATGACTAGGAACATGCTTGGGGTAGGAGTAGGAGTGGGGGGAGTTTGCACTCATTTCTTATACCTGAGGGGCAGAAAGGCATCGTGGAGGTCCAGTACAGAAGAAACTCTGTAAAATGTCAAAGGGAAGGGTCTCTTGCTGGGAGAATCCCCATCCTTGCACATAATATTAAGTTGTACACCCTTCAGGAGCCTTGGGGATTTGAGAACGTGCTATGTTGCCTTGTGAAATGATTTCCACCAAGTTCAGCATCTGAAACATTTTGCTTTCCTTCACCGTGTCTGTTGGCCACATATTTCTATTAATTCCATTGCATAGCATCATTCTACCTCAAAGCTTAATTCCTTACTCATAGCTTATGGCAAAATATTACTGCCCAGAAACTCTACAACTGAAACCAAGACAGTTCTCAGTTATAAGGTAGTTCATATGACACAGAATATAGTCACATTTTTAAAAGACCATTAAAAACACAAAAACTTTAACTTCCACAAATAACTCTTGGAGTCCTAAGAATGTAGCAAAGACCTTGACCTCAATTTGAAATTCACATTAGAAGGAACAGCAGTGATGAGCGGAAATGTATATGAAAGGGGAATGGTCAGAAGTGATGCTGTGATTGATTATTTTTCATTTCCCTTAAGTAATGGTTTCATATTTCCATGGAAATGATCCAAAAAGAAAAAACAAATCAATATGTTCAACGATGTTTATAGTAACCCTTTTCACAAGAATAAAAAGTTGGAAAAATTGTACCTCCCCATATCACTTAACAAATCTATATGTGTATAATATACATGATATACAAAAAGGTCATAGGAAATAATGGTATATGAAAAAAAACAAGACAAAAATCAAAGTTGTATATACTAATTATAACTTTAAAAAATGTAAACCTCACAATGCTTCAATAAGGACAGAGAAGAAATGAGGGCTAGTCCTCAGCTGTTTATAACAGTCTTCTCTAATTGGCTGATTCTCATGTCAGACTGTTTGGTGACACAGTTTGAATATCATGGTCAGATGGGGTGTAATTAAAGGGTCTGTATGTATTTTACATTTATTTTGTGAAGTTATTTGCATGACAGGATAGTAAAAATTTTAAATAACAATAATAAATTAAACCTGGAAGGAAAGTTTAGACTGAGAATGAGTCTGTCACCAAAAAATTACCCAAAAAAAGGAGTTTCAAATAAGCAACTAACTTGTGTAAAATACACTTATCTGTAGAACTTCAAATATTCATTTTGACTAAAGAAAAAAATTTAAAACTAAAGCCAGATCTAAAATTTTCTCACACCATGAAAATCAAATCCAGGCATGAACTAACATTTAAGAAATATCCATGTTTGACTTCTGATCAGGGCTCCTTTCCCATAGGCAAGCCTCTGAATTTCACAATATTCATTCTTGAGTCTATGTTACTGACAGTTATCCTTAGCCCCACCTCTCTAAGTTCTAGAAAACTGAGAAGGCTCGGGGTTTTTTGGAGGGCTTAACTATATATAAAATGCAAACAATAGGCATCCTAGCATTGGTTCCCTTTCCTTCCCCAGCTTTCTTTCTCTCCAAAGAACTTATCAATACCTGAAATTATATCTATTTATTATATTTATATATTCATTTTTACATTACATACTTTTAACCCCCTTGAGAACTGGGGTACTTTGTCTATTTTGTTCTTGGGCCTGTAACCCTGGCACATAAAACAGTTCCTGGCACATAGCAGATGCTCCATAAATACTGGTTCAATGAATTCAGAAAGCGACAGGCATCATTTTCAAGAAAACTGGACACAATCTAAACATCCGTCTATAGGAGGATTGTAAAACTATGGAATATTATGTAGGAGTTTAAGTAAATTAGGTAACCTTCTACGTACCAAGAAGGAAACAAATTTAAAATATATCTGAGGTAAAAGAATCAAGTTGAAGGATGTTACCATTTATGTAAAAAAAAAAAAAAAAAAGATATGGCTTAGTGGTTGAGCATCGTGCGTGCACCGAGAGGTCACCTGTTCAATTCCCAGGTTGCCAGTTTGCTCCCCAGGAGGGGTGTGCAGGAGGCAACTGATCAACGTCCATGTTTCTGTCTCATCTATGTTTCTCTCTCTCTCTCCCTCTCCCTTCCTCTCTCTCTCTACAAAAAATCAATCAAAACATTTTTAAAACGATATAAAAATCACACAGCACACCTACTTTGCTATCTGTAAAAATGTATATAGGCAAATGCGTGGGAAAAGGTCTGGAAGGATATATAGTAAACAGAGTGGAAGTTACCTTAAGGGTTGGGGATGAGGGCACAGGTAGGGTTTCAATATACCTGTTATTTAATATTTATATATTAACAATAAAATTATGTACTACTTGTTAAAATGGAAAACAAGTTTAAATTGACTCATTTTAAAGAGGACCTACCAAATTTAATTTTTAAAATAAACACAAATTGCAATGAATACACGTTGATTTGGGATACGGAGGGGGAAATACCTTTTCTCAGAGCTACTGACCTCTAAATTCTGGACCAAGAAGGATCTTACAATGCAGTTAGTTTTTTTGAAATTCATTTTTGGAGAGAATATACTCACAGTCTCTCAACCAAATGGTATGACTTCCATGTATCTTTCCCAATGTAAGAAATAGAGTTTCCTTGCAAGTTTCTGTGAAGAAACACAGGAAATATCCTTGAATGGGTAGGAAAGAATGAACGGAATAAGTAGAACCACCATGGCAGCCCTGTGGGAAACACTCAAATGCAGAAAATACCAGCTTTCTAATGTCCATAGCCACCAGCTTCCCAGTCTGCACAATGAATAAAGACATAATAATGTGGGGCCACTGGCCCAGACACTGAGGCATCTCCTCAGAGCCTGGACTTCTTCTCTCGGACAGGTAATACCAGTTCATTACTTTGAATGCATTTTCCCCAGAATCACTTCTGTCTAAAATGACTCCTTCCACAAATCAATGAGAAAAGAACAATTCAACAGAAAAGTTGCAAAAGTATCGTTATCAGCACATAAATGTAAAGAAACCTTATGCCAGGCCACACCAAAGCTTCGGCTCGGTGCCCTCTGTGGAAATCTTTCCAGGAGTTAGAAGGAAAGGGGCAGCTAGAATATGGAAAGCCCTCAAGCATATTTGACAGGGAAAAGCACAAATCACTGAGTGAGGAGTAAAGTATTACCTCTTTAGAGGGAAAATGCAAAAAATACATATAAATAGGAAAGAAAAGAAGAGAGAGAGAGGTTGGAAGGAGAGACACACATCAAATGGTAGCAGGAGTGGTGGAAAGGGTTGGGTGGGATTTTCCGTTATCCTGTACACTTCTGTGACATTTACCAACAACGGCAACAGTGAGAATGTATCCATGAACTCCAGGTGTTTAAAAGCAGCTGGTAGGACCCTGAGGGTCATTTCAACCACTAACACTGTGCGTGGCTGAGCCTCTGTCTTCTTCCCTCAGCAACCACGCACCTGCTCCACTTGCACACACACTTTTCAGGAAGGTCAGGAAAAGTCAAACAGATACTTGTCTGCCCCTCTGCCTAGGGGACAGTTCCACTCAACCAGAAGCCTCTGGTTGCTTTATGCTCACCAATAAAAGATGCCCAAACAGAACTCATCTCCCTCAAACTGGCTCTCCTTCCCAGCGCCTGTGTCCACCTGTGATACCACCATCGTTCTCCTCCTCATCCAGGACAGAAACTGTCCAGGGTCATACCTGATCTTTCTCTTTCCTCTGCGTCCCACCCTCGCTCCAGTCAGTTACTAAACCTTGTCAGCTCTTCCTTTATAGTGGTCCCAGGAGGTTCTTCACTCCTATCATAACCACTCTATTCAGCACCTTCTCCCTTGACTCCTAGGTTTTGCTAGAGCATTCTATTTGGTCTCCCCGAGTCAGGCTTTCCTCTCCAGGTCGCTCTACCTATGGAATTTAAAATAATCCGCTTATTCTAATCATCTGTCTCTCTCACTTGAAAACTTTCAGTGGCTCTCCTTTCTCAGTGTAACTTCCAAATCCCTAGAGCTGACAGCCAGGGCTTTCATAACCATACTTTCCACTGCTTCCTAAACCCATTCTTTACAGCCACACTGATCTACTAAGTCCTGGTCATGCCTGCAGCCATGCCTTTGCCTAGGTTGTACTCTCTGTTCGTTCTCTATATGACAAACCACAGCCACCCTTTAAGCCCCAGCTAAAGTTCTAGCTTATCCATGGAGCTTTCCCTCACTCCCCATCCCAGGGACTACAGATTCTGCTGAATTTACAGCATCTCTCGTACTACTTAATTCTATGTCACCTCCTTTCTTATGCACATTCCCTTTCTTCCCACCTACCACTGTCATGTTCCATGGACAATGTCATACTTCTGTGGCACACACACTCCTTAGACCTGGGTTGGGCACAAAATGGGTGATGTATATAGAAAGCCAGGGGGCAAAGGTGACTTCTGGATATAACTGAGGGATCAAATAATAATAATAGCAAACACATACATGTTAGTCACTGATATAAGTACTTTATATATATTAACTCATCTCAAACTCACAACAACACTATGAGATGGTAACCACCATAATCTTCATTTTACAGATGAGGAAACTGAGCCCCAATGCTAATAAATGGCATACCTGGGTTCAAACCCAGTCGCTCTGGCTCTAGAATCTCTACTCTTAAGCACTTTGTTGTCTCACCACCAATGAGATGGGGAGAGGGCCATGTTGCAGGACAGCAGAGGTCAAGGAATGAAATGACGGGGCTAAAAATATGGACCAGGAAAAACAATACGGGCCGTTACAAGTAAAAGACTGGTGAAGGGGGTAACAATAGTGAGAAGGAGAATGATGCTAAGGAATAGTTGACGACAAAGAAAAAAACAGAACATCAGTCCATGTGGACTGGGGAAGATGAGGAAGCCCAGACGACCTCAAGGAAAAGGCTGTCCCGTCAGGCAGGATGCAGAGAACAAATGAGGAAAGGCAATTCTTACAAGATGGTGATGTTGCCCTTGTAGGTGTTGGGATTTAGCACAGGGACTGTGTGGAGCCTGTGCTTTAGGTGGAGACCAGTGCACGACAGTGTATCATTAGTGCAGGTACAGAGCTCACACATGTTCTGTTCAGTCATTGGAGGAACTTCCTCAGATGTCTCTGGTTGTGGAGTTATTGTAACTTGCACGTCCAAAGATGGAACTGTGACTTCAGACAAGGTTGGCTGCTGAGCCTGAATAGTCTCTGGATGAGGAAGTGTCACCTCAGGGGGCTTTGGAAAAGCTGGAGTCTGCTGCAGGGGTGTAGTAGAAGACTCCAGAGTAGGTTCTGGAGTGATGGCGAGGTCCACGGGCATCTGTTGAACAGTTGGTTGCTGATCCTGAACAGGCACTGTACTTGGAATCACATCAAGGGGCTTTGGAGGAGCTGAAGTCTCCTGCGGGTGTATAGTAGAAGTCTCCAGAGTAGATTCTGGGGTCATGGTGATCTCCACGTCCACCTGTTGAACGGTTGACTGCTGAGCCTGAACAGGCTCTGGACTTGGAAGTGTCGTTTCAGGGGATTTGGGGGGAGCTGTAGTCAGCTGCAGGATTGTAGCATTAGTCCCCAAAGTAGGTTCTGGAGTGTTGGTGGGCTCCAGGTCCACCTGTTGAAAGGTTGACTGCTGAGCTTGAACAGGCCGTGGACTTGGAAGTGTCGCTTCAGGGGACTTTGGAGGAGCTGTAGTCTGCTGCAGGGCTGTAGCATCAACCTCCAAAGCAGGTTCAGGGGTCATGTTGAGCTCTAGGGCTAATGATTGTAAGGTTTGGTGCTGAGCCCGAACAGGCTCTGGACTTGGAAATGTCACCTCAGGGTGCATAGGAGGAGCTGTAGTCTGCTGCAGGGCTGTAGCATCAACCTCCAAAGCAGGTTCAGGAGTCATGTTGAGCTCCAGGGCCAACGGTTGTGAGGTTTGGTGCTGAGCCTGAACAGGCTCTGGATTTGGAAATGTCATCTCAGGGTGCTTAGGAGGAGCTATAGTCTGCTGCAGGAGTGCAGCATTAGCCTCCAAAGTAGTTTCTGGAGTGATGGTGAGCTCCAGGGCCAGTGGTTGAAAGGTTGGCTGCTGAGCCTGAACAGGCTCTGGACTCGGAAATGTCATCTCAGGGTGCTTAGGAGGGGCTATAGTCTGCTGCAGGAGTGCAGCATTAACCTCCAAAGTAGTTTCTGGAGTGATGGTGAGCTCCAGGGCCAGCGGTTGAAAGGTTGGCTGCTGAGCCTGAACAGCAGGCTCTGGATGTGGAAACGTCACCTCTGGGTGCGCTGGAGGAGCTGTAGTCTGCTGCAGGGGTGTAGCATTAGCCTCCAAAGTAGGTTCAGGGGTGACGGTGAGCTCCACGGTCAATGGTTGAAAGGTTGGCTGCTGAACCAGAACAGGCTCTGGACGTGGAAATGTCACCTCTGGGTGCGCTGGAGGAGCTGTAGTCTGCTGCAGGAGTGTAGCATTAGCCTCCAAAGTAGGTTCAGGGGTGATGTTGAGCTCCACGGCCAATGGTTGAAAGGTTGGCTGCTGAACCTGAGCAGGCTCTAGCTGTGGAAATGTCACCTCAGGGGGCTTTGAAGGAGCTGTAGCCTGCTGCAGGAGTGCAGCATTAGCCTCCATAGTAGGTTCAGGAGTGATGGTGAGCTCCAGAGCCAGAGCAGACTGAGCTGTGGTCTCCTGCTGGGATGGAGGTCTGTCTTCTTCAGTGGACTTTGCAGGATGAGCTAAGTCCTTACCCATTGCAGATGGTTCGATCTTCTTTGGGGGTTCTGAAGTCATCAAAGTCCCCAAGCCCGTATCTTTAACAATGATATCTTTAACTGGATACTGAGCTTCACCCAACTCTAGAGGTAAAACTGTCTCCTCATGATATAGTGAAGGTTGAGCTACGACATCCCTAGGGTATTTTGGAGGCTGATCTTGACCCTCCAGCTCAACTGAAGAAGGTTGGAATGATAGGGGGATGGAGGTCAGCAGGTCAAGGTCCAGGGACAACTCTGGAGGCTGAGCTGCCTGGACCTGCAGCCACAACAGATGCCACATGAACAGGAGCCATGGGGCCCACAGGTGCAGCTCCGACATGACAGGGACAGTGAGCAACCCAGGTGAGTGGGGCACAGCGACCGACCCAGACAAGTGGGATGCCAGCACCATGTGCTGAGCAGGAGCCCAACTGGCAGCCTTGTCACAATTGGCAGCCATGTCACAATTGGCAGCCATGTCACAATTGGCAGCCATGTCATGCATGCGCCCCTTAGCAACCAAGCACCTCTCGGCTGCCTCAGGTTCCAATATTTATTTAGGCAACCTTTAGTAGCCTTGGGCTGAGAGTCTGCAGAAGAGCAAGCCTTTTCCCCTGCAGAAAAGACAACTACCTCCCACTGGGTCTCCCCTCCACCCCTCACAGTGAGGCAGGATTTGGGCCGCACATCTGGGTGGCCTCGGAGTCTAGCAGCCCAGGGATGGTGGGATGGGGGTTGTTAAAGAAGGTGGGGAATTGGGGGTGTCAATGTGAAAAACATTCAAACCTATAGAGAATTTTGTGAGTTTACTTGAGCCAAACTGTGGGCAATTGCAGGGAAGTAAAATCTTAATGGACTGAGATATTTTAGAGAATGGCAGTTTTGAAACTGGACACAATGGGTCTGGGATGCCTCTCACTACTTCAGCCAATTAAGAAGAGACAAGGTTGAATTATGTAAGAGTGTTTATCCCAATAATGCTAGCAGTATGGGAGAGCGGCAGGGTTATCCACATAAAATCTGCTTTAACTCCCCTCTCCCCACCATAAGCCAGTTGCTTATATTGAGCAGAAGGACAAAGATTATATGGGGAAGTAGGCAAAAGGAATTACAGGCATGGGGAAGTAGGCAAAATTATTAAGAATGGGTATAATTGTTCAAAACGGGCTGAGGGTTTACAAAAGGGTAGGATGCCTCCACCTCTGGGTTGAGGAGATGGGGGCTGGGGGTCTTACAGGTGGCCTCGGTGTCTCCATTATTTTGGGAATGAGGTTGTTAATCTTTCCATGAGGATCATTTCAAGGTTAATTCCCATGCCCCAGGGCGTACAACTTCTAGCCAGGTTAGAATGTGCTTTCTCTAATTAGAACAGAACAATCACGGTTAACAGAGTATGATTAATATTTCTGCCCCTAACAATTTTGTTTTTTTAAAATATATCTTTATTGATTTCAGAGAGAGGAAAGGAGAGGGAGAGAGAGAGATAGAAACATCAATGATGAGAGAGTCATTGATCGGCTGCAGCCCGCAACCCGGGCATGTGCCCTGACCGGGAATCGAACCCTGATTGCCTGGATCCTAGGTAGACGCTCAACCGCTGAGCCACGCCTGGCCGGGCTGCCCCTAACAGTTTTGCACCTTGTTTTATATGTTGTAATCAATAGAGAAGCAACAAGTGGGTTACATGAATCCATTGGTGATAGATTAGGGAGGTGAAAGAAAAAGCAAAGCAGGGAAACCTCTGCAATTAGATAAAAAGTAAAATGATAGACATATACATCTTGTACATACGTGGGTATAAGATAGTCAATAGTCAACAACTAATATAACATAATAAGAGGATTTTGGTCTCTGCCCTGGTGCACTGGCTATGCCGTGAGGGGTCTGAAAAAAGGGGAGTTACACTGAGATTCCAAAGAATGTTATCGTAGATGTAAAAGACAATAGACAGGTTTAGTTAAGGGAAAGACTGACTTTTTTTTTTAATACTCATCCGAGGAAATTTTTTCCATTGCTTTTCAGATAGTGGGCAGGAGGGAGAGAGAAACATCAATGTGAGGGAGACACATCAATTGGTTGCCTCTCACAGGCGCCCAGACCAGGGCTGGGAATCGATTCTGTAACCGAGGTATGTGCCCTTGGCCAGAATCAAACCCGGGATGCTTCAGTCAATGGGCTGACACTCTAACCACTGAGCCAAACAAGCTAGGGCAAATATTGACTTTTGTCAGGGAAGATTTTAGCATAGGGCATGACTGCCTGACATAAATTGCTTTTATTTTTTTATTTTTTATTTTTGTTAGTCCTCACATGAGGCTATTTTTTCCATTGCTTTTCAGAGAGAGTGGAAGGGAACGAGGGGAGAGAGAAAAAGATGGAGAGACATCGATGTGAGAGAGATACATCGACTGGGCAGCGATTTTCAATTGGTGTGCCGCAAGAATTTTTAAAGCATGCAGTTCCTGACTATTTAGTCAGGGGCATTAGCCTCTTTTCTCTTAGATTGTAAAAAAAAAAAAATGAGAACAGCCAACAGAGTAATAGCCACCTGGTGTGAATGAATCAAAATCATAACTATTCTTTTGTCAGATCAACAAAAAATATTTTTTGGTGTTCTGCAGAATTTTAGTAATTAATGTGCCATGAGATGGAAAAGGTTGAAAATCACTGAGTTAGAGCATGGTTCAACTTTCTGTAGGGCAATTTAACAATATGTATAAAAATGTAAACTGTGGCCCTAGCAGGTTTCACTCAGTGGTTAGAGCATCAGTCTGTGGACTGAAGGGTCTTGGGCTTGATTTGGGCCAAGGGCACGTACCTCAGTTGCATGTTTGATCCCCAGCCTTGGTTGGGGCACGTTTGGGAGGCAACCAATCGATGTGTCTCCCTCACATCAATGTTTCTCTCTCTTTCCCCTCCACTCTGAAAAAGCAATGGAAAAAATATCCTCAGGTGAGGATTATTAAAAAAAAAAAAAGACTAGTACCCATCTGACACCATAGTGATTACTATAGTATTGACTATATTCCTTACATGGTACTTTATATTGCTATAACTATATATTGGCAGTTTTTGTAATTGCCAATTTGCACTTCTTTATCAAAACCTAAATAACTGCTTTAAGCTATTAATAGGATATATTATGTAAACACTGTATTTCATATATAGAGACTAAAATCTCTAATTTTATTTGCCCAGCATTTCAGAATCAATGTGTTTAGGAAAATATAATCAATTACACTAAAATTTTGGTATGTTATTTTGCACATTTATTGAATTGGTGATATATCAGTGTCACCATGTTGATGCTCTTGAAAAGTTAGCAGAGATTAACAAGATTTGTATCACTTAGCAAATTGTTTCACAGTATAGGAATTACTGTGTTGCCCTGGCTGGGTGGGTGGCTTATTTAGTCAGAGAGTCATCCCGTGCACAAAAAGGTTGCAGGTTTGATTCCCAGTTAGGGCACATACTTGGGTTTCAGGTCCGATCCCCAAGTAAGGACATGTATAGGAGGCAACCAATTGATATTTCTCTCTTGCTCCCCACTTTCCTCTCACTCTAAAATAAATAAAAACATATCCTCAGGTGAAGATTAAAAAAAAGAATAAAGTGTGTTAATATTTTGGATTGAAAAGCTTTAGCTCAGATAGCATTCATTTAAAATACGGTATTTCATCAGCCCAAGAATAAAATGGTAAGAAAAAAAGAATCTAACTCAGGTAAAAGAATTGTGAACCAAACAACAGGGCTTGTTCTGAAGATAACTTCATGAGGAGCATCTTAAGAAAAATCCTAGTTAAAACATAATTTTAGCAAAACAAAGTTTTGGCTGAATATGATTATGCAACTTTCTGTTTTAATAGAAACATATTTATTTATTGACAGTGAAACAGAAACAAGAGAAAACAGAGGTATCAACCATATATTTTAAGTCCTTTTCTAGAATAACCAATGTTTATTAGGAAATTGTAGCCTCACTGACAATAAATATCAACAATATCATGAAATTATTGTCCAAATACTAAATTTCTGTAACCAAACACATTTTGGGTTCAAGAAAACACAGTATACACGTATCAAATAAAATACTCCATATACACACAAAACTAAAACCAGCTCAAGTTTAGAACTGCACCGGCTAGAACACACTTATTGCGTTACTGCCTTAAGAACCCCACGGAGCACCTTGTAACTCATTAACTGCACGTTTTCCTTTGGAGGGAAACAAGGTCCTCTCTCTGTCACATATGCATAAGGAAATCTCAAAACCCAGAGGCCATCTGGTGGGAGAGTGATTTCTTGTTTTTCGGGGTAGAATACTGGACATGGTGGTGGGCCTGGCTGAACCTGAAAAACACAGGTAATATAATTATTTTTAGTTTTCAATTAGAAACATCTGAAAGATAAATGCCTAAACAAATAATAGGTTTGTAGGTAATGGCTACACTCTAATACTTCATTATTTAGGCTCAAATATTATCCTGCTTTTTTACAGACTTTTAACTTCAAGTTCTGCCTCTGAACCAATTGATGTGAACTGATGGCATGAACTGATGAACACACAATTTATTTTTTAAGAAGAACAATATTAGGTATAAAAAGTATTAAAAAAATTTTTTTTAATGTTTTTATTGACTTTAGAGAGAGGAGAGGAAGGAAGAGAGAGAGAGAGAGAGAGAGAAACATTGTTATGAGAGAGAAACATCCATCAGCACCCTGACTGGGGACCCAGCCCCCAACCTGGGCATGTGCCCTGACTGGGATCGAACTGGCAACTTTCAGTGCATAGGATGACATTCAACCAAGTCACGCAGGCCAGGGCAAAAGTATTGAAAATTAAGACCTGTTTAATGAAATAATTACTTTGACATTATCCTGTACTTTTAAAAAATAATCAAAACAAGCATCAGGCCTTGGCTGGGTAGCTCAGTTGGTCAGAGCGTCGTCCTGATATGCCAAGGTTGCGGGTTCAATATCCGTTAAGGACACATACAAGAAACCAATGAACTCATACATAAGTGGAACAATAAATGAACATTTCTTTCTCTCTCACTGTCTAAAATAATCAATAGTTTTTTTTAATCCTCACCTGAGGATATTTTTATTGATTTGAGAGAGGAAGAAAAAAACATCAATTGGTTGTCTCCTACATGCAACCTGATCAGGTTTCAAACCCAAAACCTAGGTATGTGTCCTGACTGGGAATTGAAACTTCTACCTTTTGGTGTATGGGTGATGATGCTCCATCCAACTGAGCCACCCCGCCAGGGTTCAATAAATAAAATTAAAAACTAAAAGCCAAAAAGCAAAACACAAGCATCAGCATTTTTTTGTTTCTGAAGACGGAAAGGGTTGTATTTCTTACCTGAGGCATTAGTATTATCTGTAAAGGGGCATCAGGAACCACAACAAAAAGCCTCATGAGCTGAGCATAATGTGGTTTTAATCCTCTACCCTGAGATGATGACAGAATATACAAGGGCATGTCACTATTCAGGGCTT